GTTGGAAGCTGGCATGCAGGTGCACAAAGAGCCTACCAGGAATAGGATGGAGCCAGAGTAGCGACGCACAGGAGCGGAGGCTTGTCTTGGGGATCGCGGGTGGGGGAGGTGGGCTTTGAGGTTCCTGGAGAGAAGGGTGTAAAGTCAAAAGAGAGGTGATGAAGGGGCAGTTAAATGGAGCAATGAATGGAGTGCCTGGCCTACAGTCAGGAAGACCTGAGTTCAACTCTGGCCTCAGACACAAACTAGCTGTGTGACCCTGGGCAAGTCACTTATCCCTGTTTGTCTCAGTTTTCTCATCTGGAGAATGAGCTGGAGAAGGAAATGGCAAACCACTCCAGTATCTTTGCCAAGAAAAACCGAAATGGGGTCATGAAGAGTGGCTCAATACCTTTCTTTAGCATTTAGCTCAATTTACAAGTCACTTTTGTTTTCAATGATATGTTAATTTTTTAATGTGTAAATAACTGGGTGTGATTATTTTAGTTGCACTGGGTATGTAATGGGCATGTCTTGTTAAGGATTGTTAAGGGTTCCCCTGAACCTCTCTTCTTGAGTTGCCATATTTTCCAGAAACTCTGGGCCCAAAGTATGCAGGAGGCCCTCAATGTACTAAAGATGAATCCTTCCCACTCCATAATTTTTGTTTGCACCCCATGCTTTATTCCCTGAAGGCAAGACAGGTGCCAGCCAGTTTGTGCTGAGATGGGAAATTGCTTGTGCAGTTGTGTCCCTTGTAGATAAGCAGACTCTCCTATCTTCATAGTTTATCAGTTCCCAAGGGAAAAGAATGCAGCTTTTGCATTGCCTTGCTACTCCCCTTTGGAAGGGGTTTTGTCCTTTTCCCACCTTTACTGCACCCGTACCCTTCCCATGACATACCCATTTAGAAGATTCCTAGTATTTTCATACCCCCTTCTACCGACCCCCTTTGTCCTACTATCATAAATACATAAACTTGCGTAAGGACTGTGAACTCTGCTCTGCCTTTGGGTTACACATGCATGTTCATTTCTCTTGTTATAAAACCTAGTTTTGACAAAAGTTTCATGAAGTTGTGATTTCCTCTTGGCAGTCTAGATGTCTTCCAGATTCATGCCACATTTATTTTGCATAAGCAGTGTTGTTGCCTAGATTATTGACATTTTATACAACATAGTCCTCCCCCCTTTTTTTTTGACACATCCCAGAGTTAGATTACCTCCTTAGAACAATCCAGAAGATATTCCTGATACCATTTTCATGAAAGCATTAAAATACTGGTGGGCATTAACAGAGCTGAACATGGAAGTTGCACCTTCTGTTCTATCAAAAATTATTACACTTTGGAGAAAGGTGATTGCCTGTAGCCCAGAGGACCTTTCAATACCTCTTAGATGAATGGTTGCTGATTTGGGAGTGAACTGACCTAAGCTTCACTTTATCAACTCTTTCCATGGTCTTCATTTTCTAATCATTTCTAATTCCCAGAAAGAGTAGTCTTTGTTGCATCTTTCCCTAATGAAATCTTTTCCATGGTCATATCAACAACAACATTTATTAAATATTTTTACAAGAAAAAAGAAACAAAACATTGTCCATGGTTTCATTTAAAATAAGTAAGTAAATAAGTTCCTACCTATTTTAGAAACAATGTGGATTTAAGAAGTTTTAGTAGTATTTTTGAGAAAATTAAAGACTTCATCTCATACACAAATGAAGAATTATAATTCAAGAGAATTAATAGATCCAGTGTTAGACAAGATTACTTTCAAAAGAATATTGAGGCTTTAAGGTAAAAAAATAAGTAATACTTTTTTGGATCATGATCTCATTCATATGGATACTTACACAAATGGGATGAATTGTAATTCCTTCATGCCCTCTTAACCTGGGAGATTTTTGTTGACCTCTTGGTATAGTGGAAAGAATGCTAGATTTGGAATTAAAAGACTTAGATTCAAGTCCCAAATTATGCTTCCTATAATGACCTTGGGTAAGTACTTTACTTAATCTCTCTGGGTCTAAATTCCACCTACAAAATAAGGAGGTTGGATTAGAGAACTTCTAAGATTCCTTTCAGTCTATTATTCTATGATCATCCTTAAAGGATATACCCAACATTTCACACACATTCTGTTTCTTTCAATGTTCCATGGTATGAGTGGAGTGCTCAAAGTGGTGACCAACTATTATTCACTCTTACTATGTGATATTTTAACTGACTTTTTTTGTATACACATCCCATGTAATGGTGATTCCAGTCCAGTCCAGTCCAATAATCATTTATTAATGACATGCTATTTGTAAAGCACTGTTGTAGGGGTTGGATACAAAAAGCTTTCTTATATTGTCCATGAACTTCTTTGCCCTTTGAGTAATCCAAAGTTTTGATTTTTCAGACATGGTGGCATTTTGTGCTTTTCAGCTACCAATTTTCCTCAGTGTTAAAAAAAAAAAAGAAAGTGGGGGTGGGGGAAAGTGGTGATTTCGTTTTGGGTACAGTTTCTAATCATTGCCAGCACTGGACTATTTCTTCAGTGCAATCTAGCTCACTTTCTTCCTTCAATTCAAAATTTTTGTCTTTCCCTTTGGTTTTCATATGCTTAAAGGACAAAGGACTAGGGTTATCTATCTACTTGAGTTGATGCACAAAGATAGGCCAACTCATTTTACATCTGCAGTGCTTGTCCAAAATATATACAATGATGAATTAACTAACTGGACTTTTATTCTGTTGTATGTTGTATTCTAGACGATGCACATTTTTTAAATCCTTTTGGTTTTGATTGTGTAGATTTTTAGGGTGATCTTTTTTGAAGACCTTATATCTCACTGAGGAGTTCCTTTATCATTTCAGGGTTCAATGCAGTCAACAAAATATCACATAGGAACATGAACATTTGTAGGACCTTGTCATTGATAAACTGTCATTTGGACACTGTATCCTACATAATAATGTCAGATATCTTTGGTGTATCTCTTCACTTCTTTTTAATAATTCGAGGATCATTTTATAGAGTTATTTCCATGGTTGCATCTATCAAGATATCTTGTGTGATTTAAACATATAAATGGGATGTGCCTTGTTAGAGGAAAGCATTTAAGGCTAAATTTTGCTCTAACAAGTCAATAGTTATTTTTTTATTTGTTTCTTTTTTTGTTTGTTAGTTTTAACCAACAAACAAAAACACGATTGGATCTTGTATTCAGTTATGTGACTATGAAGATATGTTTTTTTGTGGAAAAAATTAATTTCCAAGGACTCAACAGTTCTTTTTTCATATTTTCAACATAGATTCCTTCAGTACATGTTCAGATAATTCACATAAAGGTTTGCAAAGTAAAGATATGAGGCAGTAGTTATTAGTGCTTTTTAATTACCTTTTATTCATAGTTATGCCAGCCAGGATTTTTCAATCAATCATTTGATACATTTCTCATTTTCAGACATCATTTCCATCAAACCCTTGATACTTTCAAAATTGTGCCACCTTCAGCATAAATTTCTTCTGTGTTTACTTGTTTTGGTCTGAATGATCTTCTCAACTTCATTTTCTTAAGTACTGTTTACCTAAGACATTGGACAATGAGGTGTTAGAATCTGAATGTGGTGATTCCTTTGTCAGAAAAATACAGATGCCAGATAACCAGCTGATGGCAAAAATCTTTAATAAGCTGGAAGTGTACTTCAAATTGATATTCAAGTTGTTCAACTTCAAGGATTATTTCTTAATTTTTAACTAGTTGCTATAGACTTGCGTTTCTTAGAAAATATTTTTTGAGTTAAAAAAAACAAATGGGATTTTTCTGACTCAAGTCCACCAAAATAACATTTTGGAGATGGGGACATATTAATTTGGTTCTAGTTAGCTAAATAGAGAGATTGGATATTGTAAAGAAAGATATTATTAACAGAACAAGATCCTAGATGAAAGATGTTAGAAGTATAGTTTGGAAAAAAGAAAAGAAGAGATGGTTCTTTTTAGATTGAAAAGAAGAGAGGATGAATGAATTGAATAGATATTTTGACAATAACTACTTGTATAGATATGGAACCAATTAAAAATAGTAATTTCCTCAGAGAAGCCGAGAACAGAACACTTGAGAGTCATGGATTATAGAAAAGATAATTGACCACCTATTCTAAATTCCATCATCCCTAAGAAAGATTATCAAGGCAAAACACTTAAAAAACAAACAGAAAACCTCTCCAATGTAAAAAAAAATTAATATAGATTAGTAATTTTAATAAATAACTGTATATTCATAGTATGTTTTTCCTAAGAATTTAACCTTTTTAAGATTCATTGCCTAGGATTTAGAAAGGTGATAGATATGATAAAGATATCTTCCAATTATATCTTTCTCTAAACATCCAGCAAATTGAATGAGTCCAGTGTAGTTTAGACTTAGAATTTCCCTAGTAAATTGGAATCTACACAGATGCTTCTGAACAATTTTATATTCCATGACTGGGAGTGAGGGTCAGTTATCAATCCTTAAATCAGCAAAAAACACTTCAATTACCTAAAGACCATTCAAGTAGGAATTATCAGCCAGCCATACTCATAGCCTACTGGAGCCAGGCAGCATAAAGTGTCAGAGATCATGTTGTTACAATAAGTCCACTCTGTTTCAGTGGCAAAAATCACTTGTTTTACTGTGATGAGCTTAATTATTTTTGTCCAAATAACATTGATAACATATTTATTTTGTAAAATAATACTGGATATGGGCCAAAATACAATCCAAACAATAGTTGGAGATACATCCATAACATCTGACTGCTGTCAAACTGTGTTTGATGGCTAAGTTTCATTGAGGCTAAGATTCCAAGCGTTATATGTAGTAAATACTCCAGGTCTTAAACTCCATGTGAGGAAATGTTGCTAAAGTAGTGTAGGTGTTGGTGTTTGAAGTTTCTGGACTTAAAAAAAAACCAGTAACATAGAGGGAATTTTATTTGCAGGTGAAGAAGAAATGATTGGTATGTATATAACTTCTACATTTTTTTTCAGATTAATCTTAAAGATATTGGTGAATTATATAAAATACGCATTGGACATGACAATAGTGGAAAGGACCCCAGTTGGTATTTGGAAGAAATTAAACTTGAAGAAATAGCCTCTGGTGAAGTGTTTTCCCTCACAGTTGATTGTTGGATAACTGAGAATGAAGATGATGGAGACACCTGTAAAGAAATAGCTATTAACAGACCTAAGAAGAAGCCCTTGCCATGTATGTATTTGTGGATTATTTTATAATTTTAAAGTAAAAGGGTTCAATACACTGAGATTTTAGAAAACCCAGGTTTAAGAACAACTCTCTTTTAAACATTCAATTGTGTGTGTTCTTGTGTTTAGGTGTTATACGTATTGTTTAATGTCTTAAGCTTTAGTATTCCTATGACTTTAGTATTCTTGGCCATATTCGACTTGGTATATTTTTATTTATTTTTAAAATTAAATTTTATTTTATTTTCAAAGGTAAGTTGTTTTACCTTTAATTCCCCATTACCCCCGTTGAGAAAGCAAGAAAAACAAACCCTCTGTTATAAGCATGTACAGTCAAGCTTAACAATATTTTTCATTGGCCATGTTAAAAAATTGTCTTAATTTGTATTTTGAGTCTTACAACTCTCTGTCAGGAGGTCTTTACCATGTTTCATCATGACTCTTCCAGAATTATGATTGATCATTGTGTAGATCAGAGTTTCCAAGTGTTTCTCTTTCCCACTCCATCTCCCTGTCCCTCTACTTTTCCCTCTCCCTCTCTTTCTTCCTCCCTTCTTCTTTCTCCCCCACACAGATATTTTCACATATATTTGATCACCCATGATCAGCCTACTCATCCTCCTATCCTAACCCCTTCCCCACCCTATTGAGAACACAAGAGAAACAAAACTATTTGTAATCAGTCAAAGCAAATTTCTACATTGGCCATGTCATTCATATGTGTGTGTTTATGTACACATATTTGTATATATGTATATGTGTATGTATGTATATCTCATTATGCATTCTGAGTACTTCAAGTCTCTTTTAGATGACTAGTATGTTTCATTTTCAGTCCACTGGAATTCCTGTTGAGTGAAAGGTATTTCTGTACTTAATTCTACATCTTTATATGCTCTTCCTTTTTTTGACCAGTTTAGATGAAAGTTACGTTCAAGTGTCAGTCACTCCTCTCCAACCGCCTCCTCCTTGTTTACATATGTATAGCCTCTTTATGCGAGATAATTTTCCATAACCTTCCTTTCTCTTCCCATCCCCCAGTGTATTCTTTTCTCCCTCTTCATTGTTTTTTTTTTACTTAAAATTATCAAGATATAACAGATTTACTCTTTTCTAATTGGATTCCCTCTCTAAACCCTGATGATGATAGGGATCAAAGGGTACACCTGTATCATCTATCCAAACTTAAGGCAAGAGGTTTAGTCCTTTATCATTGTTCATTCATGACTATCTTTTTTATTTTTCTCTTTGCTCCTCTATACTTCAAAGTTTCTCTGCAGCTCTATATTTTTCATCAAGAAAATTTGGAAGTCCTCTCTATAAAGATCCCCCCCCCAAAAAAACAGTATTATACTCTGTTTTTCTGAGTAAGTTATACTTGGCTATCAGCCCATATTCTTTGCCTTCTGGAATATCATATTAAAAAATTTCCACTCCTTTACAGTGATGGCTGATAAATTGTATGTGATCCTGACTGTGGCTCCTCCATACTTGAATTCTTTCTGGTTGCAAAGTTTTTCTATGAACTGGCAGCTCTGGATTTTGACTCTAATGTTCCTGGGAGTTTTAATTTTGGGGTTTCTTTCAGGGGTCAATTTCTGGATTCTTTCTATTTCCAGTTTATCCTATGAGAAATCTGGGCAGTTTTATTTTAAGATTTCTCAAAATATGATATATAGGCTCTTTTTTATTTTATTTTATTTTTTATCTCCATTTTAAATTATTTTTTTTAAGATTCATTAATTTATTTGTTTTTAGTTTTCAACATTCACTTCCACAAAGATTTTGAGTTCCACATTTTCTCCCCATCTTGTCTCTCCCCTAACCCCAAGAAAGTGTACATTCTGAATACCCTTTTCTCTAATCTGCCTTCCCTTCTATCTCCCCCACCTTCTCTTATCCTCTTCTTCTTCTATTTTCCTGTAGGACAGAATAGATTTCTGCCATTGCCTGTATATCTTATTTCCCAGTTGCATGTGAAAACAATTTTTTAACATTTGTTTTTAAAACTCTGGGTTCAAAACTTTGGGTTCTCTTTTCCTCCCTTCCCACCCACCTTCATTGAGAAGACAAACAACTCAATAGAAGTTATACTTGTGTAGTCATGCAAAACACTTCCATTGTAGTCATGCTGTGGAAAACTAACTACATTTCACTTCATCCTGTCCTGCTCCCTGTTTATTTTATTCTCTCTTTTGACCCTGTCCCTCCTCAGAAGTGTTTGTTTCTGTTTACCTCCTCCCCCAATCTGCCCTCTCCTCTATTATCCCCCCTCCACTCTCCCCCTAAGATAGCTTTCCATACCCAATTGAGTGTGTATGTTATTCCCTCCGTAAGCCAAATCTGGTGAGAATAAGATTCATTAATTACCTCTCACCTTCCCTCACTTCCCCTCCACTGTAAAAGCTTTTTCTTGTCTGTTTTATGTGAGATAATTTGCCCCATCCTACCTCTCCCTTTCTCTTTCTCCCAGTATAATCCTCTCTCACCCCTTAATTTTATTCTCCAGATATCACCCATTCATCTTCAACTCACCTGTGCCCTCTATCTATCAATCTATCTATACATGCATATTTTATTTCCCTCAAACTACCCTAATACTGACAAAGGTCTCATGAGTTACAAATATCATTTTTCCATGTAGGAATATAAACAGTTCAACCTTAATAAGTCCCTTATGATTTCTCTTTCCTGTTTACCTCTTCATGCTTCTCTAGAGTCTTGTATTTGAAAGTCAGATTTTCTATTCAGCTCTGGTCTTTTCAAGCATGCTTGAAAGTCCTCTATTTCACTGAATGTTGATTTTTTTCCCCTGAAGGATTGTACTCAGTTTTGCTGGGTAGGTGATTCTTGGCTGTAATCCTGTCTCCTTTGCCCTCCAGAATATCATATTCCAAGCTCTGTGGTCCCTTAATGTAGAAGCTGCTAAATCCTGTGCTATCCTGATTGTGTTTCCACAATACTTGAATTGTTTCTTTCTACCTGCTTATAATATTTTCTCCTTGACCTGGGAACTCTGGAATTTGGCTACAATATTCCTAGGACTTTTTCTTTGGGGATCTCTTTCAGGAGGTGATTGGTGGATTCCTTCCATTTCTATTTTACCCTCTGGTTCTAAAATATCAGATCAGTTTTCCTTCATAACTTCTTGAAAGATGATGTCTAGGATTTTTTTTTGATCATGGCATTCAGACCATCCAATAATTTTAAAATTATCTCTCTTGGATCTATTTTCCTGGTCAGTTGTTTTTCCAATAAGATATTTCACATTGTCTTCTATTTTTTCATTCTTTTGGTTTTGTTTTACAATGTCTTGAATGCTCATAAAGTCACTAGCTTTCAATTGCGCCATTCTAATTTTTAAGGAAGTATTTTCTTCAGTGAGTTTTTGGACTTCCTTTTCCATTTAGCCAATTCTTTTTTTTAAGGCATTCTTCTCCTCATTGGTTTTTTGGACCCCTTTTGCCATTTGGGTTAGTCTATTTTAAAGTGTTATTTTCTTCAGTATTTTTGGGGGTCTCTTTTAGCAAACTGTTGACTATTTTTTCATGATTTTCTTGCATCATTCTCATTTCTCTTCCCAGTTTTTCCTCTACTTCTCTTACTTGCTTCTCAAAATCCTTTTTGAGCTCTTCCATGGCCTGGGACTGATTCATATTTTTCTTGGAGGCTTTGGATGCAGGAGCTTTGACTTTGTTGTCTTCTTCTGATTGTATGTTTTGATCTTTTTTTGTCACCAAAAAAAGATTCTATGGTCTGATTTTTTTTTTATGTGTGCTGTTTGCTCATGATCCCAGTCAACTACTTGAGTTTTAAACTCTTTGTTAAGGTAGAGGTCTGCTTCCAGTGTGGAGAATGTACTGTCCCAAGCTTCAGGGGTTTTGTGTAGCTGTTTTCAGAGATACTTCTAGGAACCTGCAAGTTTTCAGTTCTTCTAAGGTGATATGAGCAAGGGTGAGTTGTTAACTTCTTTCCTGGGCTGTGCTCTGGTCTGTGAGTGACCACAAGCACTCTTTTCTGCCTTGAAACTGTGTGAAGGATTCCCTTTCCACAGCCACTACAAGCTCCACTACACCAGTGCTACTCCTCATCCCAGGACCACCACCCAGAAGTGTGACCCAGACCCAAGCACAGGCAAAGCAAGAGAATCCTGCCTCAGCACCAGCAAAGAGATCCTTGTAATCCCCCTCTGATCAGTCACTTGATTTCCCCTCACTATGTGGGCCAGAACCTCTGGAAGCAGCTGCTGCCCGAGGGTACCCTGGGACTGAGGCTAGGAATCTAGCTTCTCTCTCACAGTGGTCACAGACTTTTCCTACTGACTTTCTAAGTTGTGTTTGGCATTTGGTGTTGAGAAGTCTGGAAACTGCCACAGTTGCCTGTGATTTAGTCCCCTGAGGCCTACTCCAGGTTCGCTGAGGCCTGTTCTTTGCCTACGTGCCTACACTGAACTGCATTTCTTTACCAGCCTGGTGTGATAGACCTTTCTAATCAACCATACAAGTTGTCTTGGGCTGGAAATTTGTTTCACTCTGTCTTTTTGTGGGTTCTGCTACTCTAGAATTTGTTTAGAGCCATTTTTCACAGGTATTTGGAGGGGTTTGGGGGAGAGCTCAAGCAAGTCACTGCTTTTACTCCACCATCTTAGCTCTGCCCTGCTGGGATCTTTTTTTTAAAAAAAAAAACTTTTCTTTTTCTTTTTTTTTTAAAAGCTTTTATTTAGTATTTTATTTTTTCCCAGTTACATGTAGAAACAATTTTTAACATTTGTTTTTAAAACTTTGAGTTCCACATTCTGTCCATTTTTTTCCTTGAAGTTTTTGTTAAATAGTGAGTTCTTTTCACACAAGCTGGAGTCTTTGGGTTTATCAAACAGTGGATTACTGTGGTCATTGACTACTGTGTCTTGTGTACCTAACCTACTCCACTGATCCATCACTGTATTTCTTAGCCAGTACCAAGTAGTTTTGATGATTACTACTACTTTATAATATAATTTAAGAT